GATAATTACAATACTTTTGGGTAATATTTTTCATGCAGTGGTGTAGGATTTCTTATCACACCAGTTTGCAAGTACCCTCTTGTTTCTTTACTTTTGTCCAATTCAATCCTACTACTACTTTTTCATTTTTAATGTTTTTTATTTACTTGTTAAAACTAATCTTGACACTCATCAACGGTACTGGCAGCAAATCTGTTACAATGTAGTGTACTAGAACTACAGCTATACAAAAAGTTTGAGTTAAAAATTTTACAGGTTAATTTTTGAATAAAGCAAAGGTAAAATGAAAACTATATACAATTTACAAAGCATGCAGTCACACAATGCATATATTTATTCTTAATAATTATCATGGGCTCTGTGTGATGAAAGAAATCCTTCCACTTCAGCTTTTACTCTCCCAAGTTCCTCTGAATAATCATCACAAACTTGCAGGACCTTCCTCCAGGTCACATCATTACCTGAGTCTTTCCATCTCTGGAATACTAGTATGAGATTGCTAGTGGTTGACTGTGGGTAAGGCAACAGATCATCAACTTTAACATCAAGTGCAGTACCAATGACAGTGTGATGGGAAGAACAACTTTTGAATAGCCTAAGGAGGTCATTGTTGTGGGGCTTCTTGTCCAGAATGTCTGCAAAGTATTTGTAATAAAAATTTACATAATATTATTCTTACCTTTATCTGATGAAGGATCTGTAATATATTCCAGGCAGAGACATAATAATGAAATTGTAAAATGAGACTTAGCAGCAAATCAAGTTAATGATGTACTGTACATGCATACATGTTTAGTCATGCTTTCCCACATAGCATGTTAAATGAGCTACAAAGCATGTTCCATGAGCTGACAAGTACTATGATAGTGTATAGTATGAGGGCACATCAAAAGCATCACCAAATTTGTTATTCCGCATAATATAATGGTTAGCATCATAAGTGAGTGCTGGTTGGTTGGCTTCACAATAGCTAGCAGCACTGTGCGAGGAGCTACTAATATTGCAAAATTATGTAGTTTTTATTTTCTGACAAAATTTGGCAAAAGTGACTGCACTATTACAGTACAGGGACTTTAGCCCAATTTTTTAGTAACTTTAAAAATTTGTAAAAAAATTAAATTTGATCAGAATCAGCTCAAACTTGCTATACAACACGGGCATGTACAAATGTATACCGTAGGGCGCCTTTTTTTCGAGTACTGTTAGTGAAATGGACTAAAAATCAATTTTGCAGATTTAATTTTCATGAATTTATGCCTTCTGCTGTCTTTTACGATAACAATTTGATTTCCGTGTAAGTAAACTTAGTGAATCTACAAAAAATCACAAAATCTGCAAAAATTACAGCCTTAAAAAAGCACCCTACATTATGCATCAGAATAAATTATAAAAAGCAGAATATTCTCTTTTTCATTTTTGACAAAATCTGGCTAAAGTCCCTGTACTACATGTAAATGGGACTTTGGCCTGATTTTTGAGTAATTTTAAAAATTCGTAAAAAAATTAAATTTGATAGGAATCAACTCAACTTTCTACACAACATAAGAACATGTACATGTATACACATGTACTGTATGTATCAGATAAACTTATAAAAATGCAAATTTTGTGGCATTTTTGATAAAATTTTGTCAAAGAATCTACTTTGTCCTGATTTTAAATTTTGATGAGAATCCACTCAAAATTTTGACACAACTTAAGTATATGTACACATGTATATGCATCAGAAAAATGAAGGGTTTTCTCCTAGCAATTTTGGTGATTTTTTAATAGCATTAAAAATTGCTAACAAGAAGCTGAGCACTACTTACTGATCTTGTGGAAAACCCTGCATGCAGTATGTGCTTAATATGTACCTGATAGAGGATCCAGTACTCTTCTCTTTTGATATCCATTAATATCCAGTACTGGTTGCACTACCAAATCATGACGAGATACTACAATCATAATAATAAAGAATAACGAAGCACAAAATTAATTATTATAATAATTATTTTTTCCTTTTGCCTAATGCTGCATCAGATCCTCTCAAAAACAACTTGGGATGATGTGCTAGATTTTTAAAGTAACTAAAATAATGGCATCACAATGCATTTTAAATTTTAGCTCTCTTGAGATTGGTCATGAGTGTACGATAAAGGTATGTAGTACATGTAGATGCCTTACATATTTAGTCTCGCCAGCCAGACTCTAATTTACCGAATAAGAATTTCTAAAAATTGAGTCTGGCCCCGCGAGACTATTACATGTTCATGTACATGTACATGTTTATACATGTACAAGTCAGATAAAAACACAAAAATTTGTAGGAATAAGTACATGTACATGCAGAAAAATTATAATATAAAATACAAGTACGGGCCTTGTTCTTTAATGTACTACATGTACATGTATTTATTACACATTTAAATATACAATGTACAACGGTACGCATCCAAAACACGTTTTATGGTACATGTACATGTACTGCACATGTTGTACATGTGTACAGTGGAACCCCTATTAAGCGGACACCATTGGGACAAGGTCAAGTGTCCTTTTAAAAGGGGTGTCCTTTATTGAGAGGTTCACTATTTCAAATAATATATGTATATTATCCACTCAAAAACTTAAGCAGAGACACTAATGTGGGATTTGCAGAAGTTGCTGGTGCAAGGGTGAATCATGGTGGAGGATATGGCCTTGAGATTCCAAGCATTTATTGTTTCTATGGCCCCAAGCTGTACATAGATCGTTTGGAGACAGTTCTTCGAGAGAACCCAGATGCTAGGTAGTTTCATCAATCATCATAGATAACAGAGTTTTCATCATGGTTTTACATCTATATATACATGTACAGTACTGTTCTAAATACATGCATAATTTTTGTCATGATAATTATAATAATATTCATAGAGATGACGTCACTGTCCGTTAGTAAGGGGTTAATTTGTAGTGTCCCACGTGTTATGGACAGAAAACCACTGTCCGTTGTACGGTTAAACGGGATGTCCGTTTTGCAGGGGTTTTCTGCCTAATAAACAGACTACCCCTGTGTTCTGGACTAAGGTTAGTGTCCGCTGTAGTGAGGTGTCCGTTGCTAAGGGGTGTCTGTTAAGTGGGGTTCCACTGTAGTATGAATATGTACAGTACATGCTGTATGCAGAAATTCAGAATGAAATACATTGTAACCTTTTTATGTAAAAAATAAATTTTCAAGAACAGCCACATACATGTACATGTACATGTTAAACTCACTAGTTTCAATAAATATTGTATTACTGAGTATTGAACCACTTCTCAACCCTCCAAACTCAATTATCCAGTGAGTGTTCTGTGTTTCATTCCAAACTGAGAGAGAATGATAATATCTATTAGTGAAACTGTCTGGTATAGTCTATATAATAAAGAAAAAAAGGTTACTATTATCCCTCCCAACTCATAAAAATGACAACAAGAGCTTCTCTATTCAAATATTCATTTTATTTTATGATCATACACATGTCTAAACTGACCAGTTGTACTAAATTGATTATTATTGAGTAGCTACTGTATAAGTCTGTCTGTACATGTACATGTACATGTACATGTACAGACAGACTTATTCACCACTGGTCTTGTATTCATTCACACTCAACACAAATTGTACATGTAATTGCAATTTAAGGTGGGCTCTCAATACGACGTATTGCTTTTCATTCACTAGCAATAGCATCATGACCGAAAGTGCTGTATAAACAAATGGGAGTACATGTATGCGTCAATGCGTCAAGAGGACTTCAATTTAGTGAAAGGTACATGTAAGATTAGCAAAAAACATGTTACAGGTAATTCACAAAATGGCATTGTTAGCGTAACGTTATTTAATAAGCAATTAGCAGCAAAAAATTTAATAATTTCTCCCTACTCTCATTGTAATTGCACACACATGTACATGTACACGTATACATTAGCGACAAGTTTAATTAGCATTTTTATTGCATTGGCTAAAACATACATGTACATGTATGTTGCAATTAATACTTACCCTAAGCCTAAGGCACAGTAGAGTGCTTTAAAAAAGCTAAGTAGCAAAAGTAGAGTACAGTAGAGAAGAGAACTTTGTAGGTAGTTCTTTTACTTTGCTACTCTTTGCTTCGCTACGCCTAGGAAGTACTGCGGTACTGCCCAGTCACATGTTCTGTAGTAACAAGCGCTCACACGCTCTAGAAGCTCTCAAAGGACTTGAGGATGCTTCTCTTGGTGGTCTGTGCCCTCCAAGTTCATCTCTACTGCTGCTCTCTGCTTTTAGGAGCCTGTTTAGGATGTTCTTCGCTCGACTCTACTGTCGAGCTACTGTTTGCTACTGACCACGTGTGCTACTACTACTGTCACATTGCGCATGCGCAACGAAGAGCACCAAACTACCTACGCAACAGTAGAGTAACTGCGGAGTAGCTACTTAGCTTTTTTAAAGCACTCTACTGTACATGCACATACATGTACTTACTAGTTCTTTCCATTCCATTTTGCTTATATTTAACAATCAACAGTCTTTGGTATGAGATCCACCCACCACTAGTAGGTGTGGTCCTGAGCTACAGTTGATCAATACATTGGAATAACCCCATCTCCCCTTAGGCCAACGTACAAATCTTCCAGGTTTAGAAAAATTTGTACAATTCTAAAATAAAAATACAGTGCATATGTTTTTGTCAGAAACAATGGCAACACAAACACAATACATTACTAATGTAAAGGTACCGTAAATCTGGTATATTTCGAGTGATCGTAATTTTTGAATAGCAATGAGGCATGCTAAACTTAGAATTGCTAATACTTCCTATTCTTCTATTAATATATTGAGATAAATAAGCACTTATAGGCACCATATAAAATTTGAAACACCTTAATTTTCTATTCTGTACTTTATAGCCATTACAAATATCCAGATATACTAATATAATACACTCACCACTGATGTGTCAGTAAATTGTAATATATATGTTATATATACG